ATGAAACGTTTGCGGCGCGGGGAGAGTCAGTAGTCCTTAACACAACATACCACGCAAATTTCCATCTAACTGATACGCCAATTCCAAAATCATGCTTTTTTCTGTTTATTTTTTTATTTTTATTCTTTTCTTGTTTTTTAATCTTCTATTTTGTTCTTTTTTTCTATTTTTTGTTTTTTTTATTCTGTTTTTTTTTTTGCTTTGCTTTATTTTCGCTTACAATGAAACTGTTTTAAACAATTTCAATGCACGTAATCCCAAGTGAGAATTCATACGTATTCATCGGCGGTCAGCATTACGTCAGGTGAGATACGCACGGCACCGATTGTCGTCCCGAGACCTGACATTAGAACCCGATCACGTACTTCATCAAGACTTTAACGGAATGAAAATGTGCGCATTTATGTGTACGGGAACACGATGAGGTTCATTGGCTGCCGAGTGTGCAAGGTTGCCTGCCGGACCTGGACCCCGAAGACTTCAAGCTGTCCAACGCCTTCGTACTAGGCGCGCGAAACCTACAACGCCGGCTACAATCGTCGTCTCGTTAAATAACCGGAAAATATGATAATTGTCCGATATCGAATTTTCAGTTATGCAACAACGGCTCGGCTTGACTCGACTCGGCTCACGTTTCTCCTTGTTTTTCGTCTTGCAGCAGTCAGCATCCGCTTTGCGTTGCGCGCCTCAATTTCGCTCGAATCGATTACAAAAAAATCATTGACGGATGATCGAGCGGAAAATGGACTTCTTTATTAGGGCGAGGCTTTTTTCTCTGTGGTAGGCTCGCGAATCACGTACGGCCGGAAGCTCGTGCCGATTCATCGGACCAGAGCTGACGTTTTGATGCGTTCGGTGAATGCACTTGGCTGTGACGCGAGGCAAAAAAAAAAAAAAAAAAAAAACAGAAAATGAGAAATTTGTTTTTATGCAGATTAACGATTCGCAATGAACAATAAAACGATAAATAAATAAAATGACGACGACGACGACGACAAGCGCGGGATAATTTTTATCGATATTAAAAAATTGCATAGAGTCGAGTAAGCCGGTCGCGGTTGGCTATCCCTAAAAAAAAAAAAAAAATGTACGCAATTATACCTTCTCGGCCTTCCGCGGCTGCACGCCGTTAATTGTCCATCGTGTCGCAATGAGAATTAACGGCTTTTTTTTTAAAGACTTGACGATAAGCAGCGGCTCTATGTTATTATAAATTTATTATAAATTTCGTGGACTTGTAAAGAGCAATGCTGATAATGTTGAGTATCGCGTGCCCCGGCAATCTCCACATTCTTAACAGCAGCTCTGCTTAATAATATTTCTAAATAATGATCGATCGCTCCTTTTTCCTCTCCTTTCATTCGGCTTTGTCCACTAGTGTTGAAAAAATGTAAAGCAGCTTCGATTAAATGTCCATGTCTACGGCATTTGAATAGGAGGTTTGAGCCGCGTATGACAATATCTATCGGTTCCGAGCCCGTTTCAAATGGCAATTTATTAGCGGCTAGTATTTTCCAGCATCGGAGACGAGGGAAAAACGCGAGAAAACGAGGCCGTGCACACGGCCCCAATGGGATTTTCGCGCGACCGCGACGAATAGGGGGAGAAAAAAAAAGATCGAGCCAGCTACGAAGGAGCGCCAAGTGCTCAATGATGCGATTGTCGGGAGAGGCGGCAATAGTTGAAAAACAAAAGTCATAACAACCGTCGATGGTCGAGGAAAATTCCGGCGGTCCACAAAAAATGCGCTATTCGCTCTCGCTCTCGCTCAACCGCGCGTCCATTGTGCATTTTATCAGCCGTTTATCAATCCTCCTAAACCCCCCCCCCTCCCAAATCACTCCCATCATCCCCCATCAACCCTGCCCAGTCAGCCACCTTCTCCTCCTTATTAGCCATTTGACGAATGTTTAATTAGCGCGGGGTCACTTTCATCGAGACGATCTCGGGGACGAGTTTTCGATGGGAAAACGGTATATATCTCCCTTTCTCCGTACTTTCCAGCGATGCTCAATATCCGAATGCGCCAGCTCTCGGCCACGAGGTGTCGAGCTCTTTCTTTTTTCATCGTGCGTACGTACGCAGCGGTCGAGACCGTTGTTATTTAGACTTTTCCCTCGTTAATTATTTCATGTGTAGAGTGCCGTGCGAGCACACGACGAAGCATAGAGTTTTAGGGATTTTTCCAGCACCGAGGAGAAACGCTTTTTTAAAACCGATTCTCATTTAGTAAACGATTTTTACTATTTAATCGAGGCCGCGCTGGAATAAGATTTTTTTGCTTCTTTATTTTCTCTTGTCTATTTATTAATTTATTTTATTTTATTTATTTATTTATTTATTTTTTTTTTTTTTTGATTTTTTTGATTTTGGTCTTTGCGTGCTCGAAGCTCTACGGACCCTTTTCGTGATTGAGTCACAACGAGCGACTTCCCCAAAACTTTCCTACGTGCAATTGCTTTATTCTCAAGCGCATGTGTAATGCAATACGTCCGAGTGCGCATGGGTAGATGGTAGTACGGATGCACGATAACGAAATTTACGAAAACAATATAATCTTATGCATCTTGGAAGATACACGGATGCGTTATTGACCGAATGTTAATTTACAAAGCTAAATGAAAAGGTAGACTAAGGAGAGGAAGACAAAATGGAAGAAAAGGAGGAAGAAGAAGAAGAAGAAGAAGTAGAAGAAAAAGAAGAAGAAGACGACGACGACGACGACGACGACGACGACGACGACGACGACGACGACGACGACGACGACGACGACGACGACGACGACGACGACGACGACGACGACGACGACGACGACGACGACGACGACGACGACGACGACGACGACGACGACGACGACGACGACGACGACGACGACGACGACGACGACGACGACGACGACGACGACGACGACGACGACGACGACGACGACGACGACGACGACGACGACGACGACGACGACGACGACGACGACGACGACGACGACGACGACGACGACGACGACGACGACGACGACGACGACGACGACGACGACGACGACGACGACGACGACGACGACGACGACGACGACGACGACGACGACGACGACGACGACGACGACGACGACGACGACGACGACGACGACGACGACGACGACGACGACGACGACGACGACGACGACGACGACGACGACGACGACGACGACGACGACGACGACGACGACGACGACGACGACGACGACGACGACGACGACGACGACGACGACGACGACGACGACGACGACGACGACGACGACGACGACGACGACGACGACGAAGCAGTAGTAGAGAAGAGGCGAAAGAGGAAAAATCTTCTCGCATAAATAACATAACATTATATACCTGGAAAATTGTACATGATGCGTAGCATTGATTGAATGGTCAGTACATCCAATTCGAACAAGAAATTGGAGTAATAAATTAAAAATATTTAAATAAATATAGAATTTATTTCCACGAATAAAAACATGTTTTAACAATCACGTTATTAAAAAAAGCGAAAAAAGAGAAACATTATTTTTCTATTGTAACCAGTGCGCAATCCATTCCTATATAGTTATAAAATATAATGAGGTAGCATTCTATTTTTTATTTCCCGTATAATAAAAACAACGATATTGAAAATTTTAAAACCTATTTCATCTGACGTTTTTTCTCTATACATACATCCAGATATACGTATAGGCACACGCACGCTCGCGCGCCTACATGCGTAAATAAATACATACGCGCTCACGTACTCACAGGCCCTCGCGCACGCACGCACGCACGCACGCACACATCGATATATCGCCGGAGCGCGGGTACGTACTCGCATGTACAAATTCTCACGCTAATTTTATGGAACTTCCGATGTCTTTATATTTTTAACAGCTAAAAATTATTTTATTATATAAGTGCCATTGATAAAAACACGAATATACGCTTGATAGTAATATTAATATAGAAAATATCTTTTATTTGTTATAGGTATAATTGACGAGAATTTATTTACGGTAAGGCTCCTTCAATACGTAATAAAGAAATCCAGTTTAGAACGATTGATAAGAGGATACTCGAAAAAAAGTAGAACGACAACGACGACAAAACAAACAGAGAGAAAAATTGTGAAAATGCAAATGAACCAAATGTTCAGTATAAGGAAAAAATTGAGAAACTCCATGGATAATTAAGCTCTCGAGTTCGATATGGGCAGCGTATAATGGTCTTAGTCGATATTTGCGTGTACTAGCAGCTTTGGCTGACCGCCGCCAATCATTTAATTAGCCCACGAGCTACTTTGCCACGAGCAGACGGCGAGACGTATTTTTATTCAATTATTCGATGCTAGAACGACGTTGGGGATTTTCGAGGTTAAATGGCAGTAGCTGTGGCGATGCCATCGATAAATGCCAAATGGCGCGCTGTCGCGACCGGTAAAAGGACGAAGCGTCGCTGCCCCGCTGGCGTGCTCGAGATAAGATTCGACGACGTGTTGGCTGGGAGCAAAAGTCCCGGCGCTTTCGAGCCGAAGCTCCTCGTCAACGGGGGCCAAAAGCCGTAGGCGTGAGTCGGAAAATGGAAGGAGCTAGCTAGAGATTGAGCAGCTCCACGGATTGGGGAACCGCGAGGTCGCAAACGGGGTTGTGTTCCGGGTCAAGCTCGAGCTTCGCCGCGGCACGGGCTGATGGTTGCGGTTTGGCGGCGTAAAGGATTGTGGCTGCCGGATGGGCGGCATAGAGAAGGAAGGGGGTGCGGGGTTCGATCGAGATTGATGGGGGATGAAAGAGAGTGAGTGAGTGAGTGAATGAGTGAGTGAGAGAGGGAGTGAGAGAGAGAGAGAGAGAGAGCGAGAGAGAGAGAGAGCGCGAGAGAGAGAGAGAGAGGG